TGGAACTAAAAAATAAAATTACATAAGATATAAATAAAATCCAAATAAAAGAAAAAAGTAAAATAATGAATTAATTACAAATTTATATAAACAAATTTAATTAAAACGAAAAACAAAGTCTTTCTGAGGCCAAAAGCCAAAGAATAAAAATGGGTTTTAACCAATGTTCTAAAACCTATTTCTTGTTTCTTCTTGATAAATGTTGCTTCTTAACGCCTATTTAGATGCTGTTTACAATATTGTCCTATTGTTGTTTTGAAGTATGAAGCCTTAAATGAAGCTTATCTTTTTATCAAAACTTTATTTCCTCACAAAATACTTTCTTTCTCTCAGGTGACAGACCCACAAACTTCTACGTGGGGGTGACACAACAGCACAGTGAACCGACTTTTCTGGTCCAATACCTGCTGGCCAACCTGACCGGCACCACCGTCAACATCACCCAGGACAACTGCCAGAACCAGAGAGAGGGCGAGGATGACAAAGAGAGCAAACATGTAAGATTTACAACAGTGTGTATTTTCTTGAAAGTCAACTTGGGTGTAAGTTGCCCTCTGGCAATTTAAGTAAGAACTTTAAAGCCTTTGGAACATCATTTATCTAATTCCTCCCTTTAACACATTGTTGTCAACCCGTCCCTCAGATATACAGCTACATGTGGGTTCAAGGTGCAGCACCTCCCAACAGTACAGAACGAGTGGCATTCTGCGTTCGCTCCACAGTTCGTCTCTCCAAAGCGCTGTCCCCGGCCTTCGACCTGAAGGAGTACACCTCCAAAGATTACTCAACGTGGACGGAGTCCAGGTGGAAGAGCATTAAAGGGCGCATATTCCTGGTGGCCAGTCATGAACTGGAGGTAAACTTTACCTCAAAGACACCACAGATGTGACTGATGCACACACACAGCAGAGAAGTTGTTCTCCAACTAAAAAGTTTGATATGTGAATGCAATAACTCGAGACAAGGCAACATAGGATTTTGAAGTTGATACCATTGATAGTTGCATCTACTAGCAGGCTGAGGGGTAGCACTGTTGGCCTCCAGTTCTTTTTTGTAAGCAGTGATCTCATTGTTAGTGGAGGGCAGGGATTGTTTTAAGGCACGCGAGCGCTTGTGGGAAAGTCTCATGTTGAAAAAATGGCTTCCAAACGGCAACAAGAGACCAAATTTGCATGGCAATTGTAACAGTGTTCATGATTGGTTGTTATTTTCTCTCTGATCTAGATTTTCTCACAGTAGTGTTTGTGATTTTAGCGGCCGATCCGGCCTAAACCAACAACTCCGGTTTCCAGAACCACAGCAACAAAAGAGCCTAACAACAAAAACAAAACTGGTTAAATCCTGGCAGTGATTGATTGCGTGCGTTGAACAAATTTCAGGTCTCTGCATGTTCATCAACACATTGTGCTAAAACAAATCGAAACTCATTTATTTCAGTGTTTGATACAATCCGATTTTGTTAATGTGGTAACTGCATCTCACTGCTTAAACTGGCGCCTTTGGGTTCACCGTTTGTATCACTGCTTTAAAGTCACATGATAATGTGACTGAGTTATTTTTAATATAACAGCTCATCACATGAGTGCAAAACCACAGGCCGCTGGAACTCGACTTCCCTCATTCTACAGACAGTTTTACCCGTGATAGCTGGAATAATCGCTTCCATAGTAAAGCATTTAAAGGCTTTTTGGTTGAGAGCTACAATCAGAACTACTTGATGTTTAAATGTAACTATAAATAAAGGTGATGTTATCTTGTTGCTGCTGTGTACACCCTGGGGGGTAACAGAAGTTGATACAGTAACTTTGTGGTATGTTTAGGAGCTAAAACTGAGTGTGAAAACCTTCTTGTTGTATATGTAACGATTGCCCTTTCTCCTCCAGATGTTGACGCTCGGAGTCGGTGTGGCCGTGCTGATAGCATCCTTAATGTTGACGTACATCATCAGCTCAAAGGCCGACATACTCTTCAGCTCAGGGAGAGAGCCCACCGCTGCCACCTACTGATTCACTCAGAAGCGTCTCAGACCCACGACCACTACTTCTACTACTACTATTGCTACTACTACTTTTATCCCAACCAGACATGGACAGTTTTCTTTAAAACACACCACGAGTAGGTACACAGACAGGTTAGTCTCAGCTGCATCGAGGTGGGGGAGGGGGGTCGGGGGGTGAGGGGTTCCTTTTAGACGACGACTCCGTGTTTATGGACTCACTCATGTGAGGCGTGACATGAGGACTGGACCGGACTGGATTTGCCTGGATGGATCTGGACTCATCAGGGTCATGAAACACACTGGTCAGGCACCAGCAGGCCCTGCCAGTGGAAACGATGTTTATATTTTTTGTTTTAGGTTTTTTTTTGTTTTGTTTTGTTGTTTTTTTTCCCTTTTATCCTAAAAGAATGTTTTGTTTACTGTGTCATGGGATAGGCACTAAACATTGAGCATTACTTTGAGCTGTGTGTATGATTTTGAAAATGTGAATGCAACCGTGTGTGTGAGCAATTATAAGTGTGCGCACGTCTGTGTGTGTGTGTGTGAACTTTGTATGAGGATTGCGATGGTATGTGCAATACTTTAGCTGTCTTCTCTGTCAGTGTAGTTAACTTATCAATCAGTTTTAATGATAAGAAACCACTTTGTGAGTCAATGAGCAAGTAGTAATATTACAAATTTAACATTTTGCAAAATCTGGTAATGTGCAGTGAAAGATTTTGATAATAAATCAGTATCATTCAGTCCAAGTACACATGATGAAACTGTACTTGTAGACCCCCTGCAGTTTCACATATTGTGATATTTGAATGGGAATTTTCCAAGAGTCTGGCATGGCTGAAAAATACACTTTATTTCTCATCAGTCAGCGGCCATAATGTATTAAAAAAGCAGTCGGAAAGATCCGTTTTAGCAGTGAAAAACAACATGCTGGTACTCTGCCTTTGCACTCTTTGGTTTTTTGTTTTTTTCCCTATGAAGTTTATTTTCTGAAAATTGTATGACACACGAGATTGGCGATGGGTGTTTGTTTTAATAGATGGAATTAAAAGACCGATTGTGATGCCTTGATGAAGAAATAAACATTGCTTCTTTTCCAAACTTGTATTTCACAGTCCTTTGGCACAGAAAAGCAGGAAAATGTAGAAAAAGGGATCACAAGGATGGAAATTAGTTTTTTCATTTATTTATTTATTTTTTATTAAACACACACAGGACATACTAATTTCCACTACTGCAAGAAAAATGTACCTTTAGAAAGTACATGGAAAGGCATTGGCTTCTAAATTGCCACATTAACAAAGCATCTAAATCACTGAGAGGAAGACCCACTAGAGCAAGTGTACCTTTTCTAATGCAGCTGACAACTTCAAGCCTTCATCAGATGCAGGATCCATAAATTAGGCCTCGGTGCAGCTCCTCAGTAATCAAGCAGTTTTAACTCCCTGCCCCTCCTTTCTTTAAGACCGCTTTTTATTCTGTTTGGTACCCCCCCCCCAACACAGGTGTCACATTGTTACCCACTGCCACTATTGATGCCTGTGAAGCCGCTTGCTGTTTTGAAGTGGATGTGATGAGCAAGGAGTGAATCTGACTATGAAGCAGAATTGATTGACATTTATCCTGGATAATCCTTTTTTTTCTGACTCCAGCAGACTTCACGTTCTTTTCCGTATAAACTTAAACTACCAATTGTGCGCAGCAGAAAAGTGTTTACTGAAGTCACAGAGTGAGGGAGCCAATAGTTGTTTTTTGACCTTCATAGAGCTGGATTTGCAACTGGAGGAGTCGCCCCCTGCTGGCCATTAAAAGGAATGCATATTTAAGGCACTTCTACTGGCTCGAGTTTTCTGACCTTCAGGGACTTTCGCACTTTTGTGCGAGTCAGTCCTTTGTGGTTGAGATGACCTTGTTAAGAATATCCCCTCGTCATGATGTCACACAGATCCAAGAGTAGAAAAAACTCTTAAACTCAATGCTTAAAGCAGTAAGAAGCTTTGGCTTTGGCTACCTGCACACATAATTTGAAACTTTGGTCATGTTTAATATGATCATCCATCCATTATCTTCCAGCTCACAATGACAGCAAACGAAGCTTTTTATAGACTCAAAAGGCGGTTTTTGAGTTGATAATTTTTAAAGAGTCCTTGGGGGAAAAAGCAAGTAAGTAGAGATCCTCCTTAAAAGAAACACAGTGTGACTTAAGTACTGTAAAGTAGTTATTGGTAAACCTTAGCCTGCATTTTGTTGGAAGGTAGTTGTAAAACAAATATTGTAATATTTTTTAGTAAAACGCAGTACAGAAAAACCTCTGCCAAGGATCCTCTGCCATATCTACAGTGAGATTATTTTGAGCTACAGTACTGTGAAAAATGTTTGAGTCACCCTTAATTTCTTTATATTTTGCTGGGAAAATGTAAAATACGTGCAGCGATTTGCAGAAACAAGTCTCTTAGGTAAGCTCTCTTCTAATTTCTGTAAGTAGTCATCATGAATAGTCCTCCAGGCTTCTTGGAGGACATTTGGCATACCTCAACATTTCCTCCCTGTTTCCCTTTTTAAAGAATGGCTCCTTGATAGCCACCCTTCCATTTCTGACGAGGCTTCAGTGAAAATGGATCAACTGGCAAGGACATGTGCCAGGTCTTTGCTAGAGTCCAACCATTTGTTAATAGACATTATCCACGTTGTACAAATTCGTGGTATAATACAAAAAAAATGTTTTCTTCTTACCTCTAAACTATACGACATATTAAAACCTGTTCGTGCTGCATGTCTGGATTCGTAACCATCTTCTTAGCTGCACGGAGGTCAGGAGGTTTGAAAGCATCTAATGATGATGGCGCTTTTAGAGGACTGTTCCCGTCAGCAGCTCCATTAACCGCCTCTCTGTTTTAAGAGCCACATTAATCTGTCCCGGTCCCTCTCATCGAGCGCACACTCTCAGAGACATCAGCGCGGTGATAGATGCGCCGTAGCTGAACCACACTCTCTCACGGGCCTGGTCCCCCAGGGGGGGAACCAGGGGAGGGGCCAGAGTAAAGCGGAGGCGGGGCGCACGGTGCTACGGCTGAGTGGAAGGAGAGTGGAAAGTAAGAAAATACCTGAATGGACGATCCGGAATAAGTAAGTAGTATTTCTTTGCGGAAATGTGTTAAAATGTTGGAAGTGGTGCTGTGGATGCTTGCGCGCTGTTGTAACGCGGAGAGGGGAGCTGGGAAGCTTCGGGGCGCCGGAGATCTCCGGTTTCCCCAAACAATAGTCGAGAGGACGCGATGGTCGCCCTTTTTTTTTTCTTTTTTTTGAATCCGAAGGGAAGTTTAGGACCCTCGTCGGCGCTATTGTTGACCCCACGGAGGCCACGTAGCTCCCTGGATCGATTTTAAACGTGGGAGGAAGAGTTGCCTTTATTAATGTGAATAGAAGCGTAAAAAAAAGGAGACTGAGAGTGATGCGCCTGGAAGCAAAGAGCGCGTCCAGTGTGACTGCAGGCCGGAGGGTTTGAATTTTGTCCTCGGCGAAGGGCTGGTGGGAATTTGAGTGCGTCCATTCATTTTACTGCGAGGGCGTCCCGTTTGGAAAAGGAAAGGGGAAAGAAAGGGAGCGGGCGTTGGGATCATTTGGCATCAGGACGCCACCGGTGGGGCCTGGGAGTCTCCCATTGTCCTGCCTTTCTCCAACACCCTCCTTTTTTATCTTGTAGGTCGCACAACTCTTTATACTCGCCCGGTTCTTCGCAGTAAGTTAGCCTTTGGTGGCTCTTTGTGCATGTGGAATATTGTTGAAATATTAATGAACGAAGCTCGACTCTTGAGCCACGCTGCCGTAGCCTGCAGCACGGTGCTAAAATGTGTCTAAACACAGGCTGTAATTCAAAGTGAAACAGGATAACGTTGCTGCAGCCGAAACAGGCCCCGATTACGCACAGATCCAGTGCTTGAAACGTCTGTTCGCCCTTCAACTTCTAATTTCTAAGATTTGAGTCCTGCTTTTGCGAGATAAAACTACACAATGCTATCACCAGGCTTTAAAAAATACCACAGAATGGCTGTAAACTGCTTCCAGTAGGGATGTTTTAGTGATAAAACGGGTCGTAAACATAGCAGGGGCTCAGTGGAAATGGACTGAAGAAGGAATTTTACACAGAGATTAAGAAATATGAAGCACAGCTGGTTCACTGTAGAAGTATTGGTGCCCATTAATTTAGGAAATCTGAAGTATTAAGAAATGCTGGCCAAAATCAGCTAGATTTCTCCCCTTATTGTTAGAGTTAAACGAAAAGTTCCAGTATTTTATGTAGAAACATGTTTGATCTAACCAGGAGTCTTAAACCCAAATACGACAATATTATCAAACAGAGAAAAACACCAAGACCTTCAATATTCAAGAAGCTGATGGAGAAAACGTTAGTTTTCTTTCTTCAAAAGCAGAAAATGTTAGACTTTATTCCTTTAGAAATAAACTGAGGTTTTACTTAACAATTCAAATTGTCCACTGGCCCTTTTCATCTGTAAATTGACTAATTTACCATTTTCAGCTCTTCAGACAGCCTGGCTTTCTGCTTAAAGGGTCTGTCCACACAAACAGAATACAGCTTGTCCTCTGACCCCCTGCGGTGTGCCTTCTACTTTTGTTCAATTAAAGTATAAGAGAAGCATGACAACTAGTGATGTGAGTGCAGAGAGAATTGTACATGTATTTTCAGGAAACGGACATGGTAGACGGTTTCTATCATGTCATATTTGTGTTTAATCACATGGAATCACATTTTGTTTTCTTTTTAAGTCAATGTGTTTGCTTCAGGTTGAAAAAAATGTACAAAAAAAGCTTCCAAATGTCTTGTGATAAAACATAATTTTGGATGTTTAAAGCACTTAAACAAGGAGTCAAATTGATGTTTGTCAGGTGACTCACAAATGAAGTCTTAATTAAGAAATTGCCGCAATATCTACATTAATATTGTCATCATGAAAAGATTTCAGTGGTCAGAAGGTGTTTCCTGAAGGGGATACGAGTGTTTTCTTATTTAAAATAAATGCATCTCTTTTTGACTGCCTTAAAAAATGCAATAGTTTCTGACTCCAGTCTGATCGCCACATTTGAACTTCTGCTGTTTTTCTAATCTCTGACAGTGAATTATGACACACCTCTGCATTTTTGGACTTTTTCAAGCAACTCCTGATGTTTTATAACCCAAACAAAGAAATAATGATGCGCTGTCTTATCAGTAACACATAGTTGGCTGCTGTTGTGAGACTCGCCATAGTCATGAATCATCTCAGCCGCTTCCTGTCTCTGCAGTACTTTTGTTTGGATATGAAGACAAATCTATGCAGAGTCAGAAGACAGGCCTGTTGATTCAAACACAGCCTATTAGATTTTCTCACTCGCGCACACACACAAACACACACATGCACACCTGCTCCCGTTTGTTCACTGTGTGTGTGCAGACCTGGACAGAAGCAGTTGTCTTGTTGTTCACTGGTTTTACTGATGTGGGTGGCGGTCTCTGTTCTGTCTGTGTGTGTGTGTGTGGCCCTTGTTACACTGATGAGCCTCTTCCCCTGTTGGACCCTGGGCGTGTGCATGCTTATTTTCACAGTTGGTGGACTATATCTGGCCTAAAATGGCTATGGAGCGGAGCTGGTCACTTCAGAGGTGTCCCGGCTTGCTTTTCCGCCCTGACAGCTGCCGTCCCAGTGCCAGCAGCTCCAAACTTTTTAACGGCAGCTCGATTTCTTTTTGTCGTGGGGAAGGTAGCTGTAAAACCTTCCATGTGCTTGTTTTGATTACCGTGTGACTAGATCTGCACGCTTGCAGCAAAATAATTGCACTGTTAATGGTTTGATTTCATTGTTGGAATCATTTTTATGCATGAGCATAACCAAAATGGTCTTCTATGAACATCTGCACTGTTTTAAGCTGTATAGTTACTTTAAATGATGCATGAAGAAATGCATATGAAATCCAAACCGCAAGCCAAAGATGTTTAAACTATGGATTTGACTCAGGAGCGTTGTTGCTTTGGGCTACATTAATTGATTTTGGATGCACTGAGTCATAAAACCAGATTGATTTAAATTGGAAACAAAAGGAGTTGGTACAATAAATTCCACAATAAAAAAATAACGAAGTCAATTTTAGCTGTTGAGGATTGGGACCCTGTGTGGAGGCTGTGTTGTGTGCATATGAGAGCTGGTTCCTTCATTCAGGCTTGAATGTGTTTGTCTTCTGTTTTCAGAGGAAGCTGTTGTCTTTGCTCTCAGTTGATGGCGCATATTAAATGACTTTACACTCCCTTTGGCCTGAGTCATAAAACCTTTGAGCCGTGGCTCTAGTAGGCCTGAAGCCCAGCATCATAACTGTTTAATCTTAGACCACACACACACACACAGGTTTCTGGACTGGCTTGCAGTGGACAACCCTGGTGAAATCGGTTAGAGCTTTTTTTTAGTTTTTAGAAATTTGACTCTTTTTGCATAAGACTATATGGGAAAAGTCATACCGGTATTTGGTTAACAATGTCAGGAGGAACAATGGCTTAGCTGGATGAAAAGAAATGAACCTTTTGTGTAAGGTGCTAATCAAAAACTAGAACCACTGGTAGGTTGTTATTGCTTTACTGAACAGATTTGTGCTCAGATGTACTTTTACACTGTGGGTGTGTGGTTTCCTTTTTTTTTATACTAATGCTGCTGATTAAAGATGGAAGGCGAGAATCCTCTTGAAGTCAATGAAGTAGGTCATAGAGGACGGTGGGATGAATAGGAAACCTTATCCATCTTAGTACCGGACCACACCTTTGTAGATCAAGTGTTCAGTCATATTCTCACTATCAGGCCAGCAGACAGGCAGGTAGGTTGGCAAGAGGATTGTTTCAGACTGTAAAGGTCAGCAGACCATGTGCAATCTAGATTTACTCATATCAAAATTTTCTGGTAGCTTAGTGCTTTAAGCCACTTGAAAGTGATGTAATATTTGCAACTTTCTTTTCGTACTTTCTTTAGAGAGGACGGGCCTTTTGCAGGCCTTACTTGCAGAGACGGCCCCGTGCGCTTTACTTTTTTGAAGCATATGTCTCTCATTATACGTATAACAGGCCAAATGTAATGTTTACAGGAAACTGTTTTATCTACCTCAAAGGTCAAATGCTGAAAGATGATGTCAGCGTTTCAGCATAAAAACAGAGTTAATTTTACACTCGACTCCAGTCTTCGTACAGAGAAATCATTCACTGAAGCTGAAAAAAAGCCATTTTTGAAAAATTGACAGGAGCCCCAAAAACCCAGAATGCAGTGCTGCCAGGGATCCACCTATTTATCCAAGTTTTACATCATCCAGCAGTTATTTATACTGTACAAGTCAATTTATGTTACATTATTTAGAACAAGTAAAATGCTACAGAGAGCTCTAGTCTCCTTACCAGTCGGCAGATATCGTCCAGTCACAAATTTAACATTATTGCTCATGTTTACTTGGATACTGTCAAAACTTTTTTACACAACATAAAGCAGAAGGACATGTTTGGAGAGTAATTTAGATAACACATCATCAAATAGCTTATCCTAATTGCCAAAGCTGCAGCAAAGTAGCATGACAGCTGAGCAAACGGTGGAGTCAAACAGTGCCGTCAGTGCTCACTTGTTTGGGAAATGCAAAGTTGAAGAGTTGAGAAACATTAACCCCGTGTTTATGTGCCTGTGCATGTAAAACTCAGCAAAACTCTAAAACATCCCCAAATATCAAGTTCAGTCCTTCACAGCCTCGTGTGCAGCTTCTGTGACAGTTCACATTTTGAGATTCTGAAGTTCCCTTTACAGCTTTGCTACTTAAATACTGATTTTTAAAGGTCAGATAGACTATACCCAGTTCAGTAATTTGCAGCAGTGATTATGATTGTGAATGCAGTCTTTCATTCTTTGGAGAATACCAAATGTTTATCGATACACCATAGTAAGTGTTATCATGCTAATGTTTTTCATTGGTTTCAGTGTATGTTGTCATAAATGTTGTGGTTAAGGGTAAAAAGTCAGCGTGCCATGATGTGAGTGACTGGAATAGAAGGACACTTGGCAGGAAACAGAAAATGCAGGAATTTAATTACAAACATTACCCTGCTATGTTTG